AATCTTCCCCCCACAAAGCAGTCACTGTAACCTTCTGAGCTGGCCTCTCTGCCTTGAATTTAACTGGTCTGGCCAGCAGATCCCTTGGAAGTCACTGTTTTGATCAGACTTTTTAAAGGTATCCGACTATGTGAAGCCTGGATGTGTGACTGAGGTGATGGCCAAATATTTCCTGAAGGAAGCATGTTTTAAACCTAGTGCTGAAGGAAGGGTCCAGGAGCAGGGAGTCAGGAAAGCTTTGGGAGCGATGGGGAGGCTGGGATGGGGCATGGGTTGCAGGGTTTTGAGCACCGACCATGCAATGAGGTGAGCCCTGTAGGCTGAGGCCCCTGGCAAGGAAAGCCAGCACTCAGAGGGACATCTAGTACCTGAGAGGAGGCCACTGGCCTGGGGAAGCTCAGATGATATTTTCGTGTCCCTGAGGACAGGGAGCTGGGGAGCTGCGTCTCGAATGAGTCCCCCTCATTGGGCCCTGACTAGTGTGGCTTTGGCAAGGGACTGGACCCCCAGGGCCTCAGTTTCTTCTGCTGTGAAGGAAGGTCCCGAGAGCAGGGCTTCTGAGGTTGACCCAGAGCCACTGCACTGCTACATGAAGTGAAACCCTGCTGCTGGCATTCAGGTGCAAGGGCTGGGTGCATCCAAGAGCATCCCTGGGCTCCCTCTGTGAATCTGCCTCATTTGAAGGGGGTGGGGGGAGGCTAAGCTCACCTAAGGAGGCAGGTGTGGAGCAAGACCCATCCCATCACTTCAGGACCTCACGGGAAAGCCCCCTGCGCCCCAATGGATGTGTTGCGGGGTCAAATAAATGACAGCCCTCTTATGGCTTGAAAATTTAGAAGAGTACAGTATTGGTTATAACCGGACAGCTAGGATCTAAAAACGATTCTTCGATTGCAGTCCCGAGTCCACATTTCAGTTCATCTTTTTTTTTTCAGTTCATCTCTAAAGGTGAAAAATTCATTTATCCTTTGTCTGAGACTTAAGCAAGCATAGACAAAAGCAGAAAGCAAAATTAATGTTATTATACTTTAAGGTTAGGGAACGTGACAGGGGACAGCCGTGATTATAACATTCTGGTAACTTCCAGCAGAGTAAGCATGCCTTATAGGGTACATGCCTTATCATAAAAGAAACAATACCAAAATTGACTATAACATCCTGGTTACCATAATTCAGATTGCAACATCAAAAGGAACAATATTAAAACAAACGATATATTGAAGAATAATCAAAACTAACTGTAGTGTCCAGAACCTGGGTCCATGGGAGTACATTCTAAAATCAATCACTAGTGGGACTTTCTAACCTTGGTCATCCTTGGGCGGGTTTGCCCTCTCTGGTATCTCCTGCAAGTGGACAGACCACCATTATCCTTATCAGAAGGGAGAGGGTCTTATTTTGGGTGAGTCAGACTAATAGTCTAGCCACTATAGATGGCTGATGTTAAGGAGAATAACCTCTGACCTACTTTCGCTGATCACCTATTGTACAGTCACTCTTAAGCAGCTAAGTTTGGTACATATTTTGGGGAGACAACTTAATAGAAATCCTTCTGTTCCCCACAACCCAGGTCGGGTGGGGAGCAGCCTGGGAGGGAGCAGGGGGTGCTCTCAGAAGAGGCACCTCTCTTAGCTGGCCGCGGAAGCCGCGAGGGCCAACAGAAAGTGTCCTCCGGCGGCCCCTCAAGCGGCGCCCAGGCCCAGTTCCATTCCCGCCGCCCCCTGGATCCGCCCCAGCCTCTGGAGGGACGGTGGCTGCGGTCATGTCCGTCCATGACAGGACGCAACGTGCAGGCAAAACGGGCTTGCTCAGGAAACGTTCGCCAATTCACAATGAAAACGGTTTGAAAGCCCACCCAGAGTCCGTCTTCCTTCTGCTTACCGCACTTGCCCACGCTCGGGGAAACTGCCGTGCGACGCGAAGCGACCGCGGGAGTTCGGGCGAGGCGCGTCCTGCTCCGGACCTCCGCCCCGTCCAGGCTGCCCCCGGGCCGCGTCCCGGAGGCCCGGCGCTCCTTTTCCCCAGACGCAGAGCCTGGATCCGGCCCCGGGGCCAGACCGCCCTGCACCGCTCCGGCGCCGCTCTCCCCAGCCCTGGCCCCGAACTCCCGGAGCAACGCCCCAACCCTCCTAGCCCCGCCCCATCTTCTGGGCAACACCCCTTCCTTCTCGGCTCCGCCTTTCCCCGGCTCATAAACAGGAAGTGGACCCTTGCATGGGCGACCGTTTCCGGCACGGCGAGGGGCCGGAGCGGTAGCGAACAGTGGAGGGGCGCAGCCAATCGCGGAAGACCGCTGGGGAAGAGCCAATCCCGAGGGGGGTGGGAGGGGCCGGGCGCGAAGACTGGGGCGGAGCGGGCTGAGTGTAACCAATCGGAGCGGCCCGCAGGGCGAGGGCGGGGTGGGGCGG